ACGAAACAACTTTAAAAATTTTTTACATTTTGTACGTGTGATGCATTGAAACTATGGGAAATTATACTGTGAAAATAATACAAACATTAAAGGCTACTGACTTAGTAATAGTATTTTCTTTCATGCCTAAAGCGAATGAAGAATTTTATCTACGTCATGTTTCAATCAATAATAATAAATAATAGAACATATCGGACATAATATTATTATTCAAGTTGTAAAACAAACAGTCTTTGCTATCATTAATAATAATACTAGAAGAAATCAATATTTAATTCTATTATTGGATATTCAATATCTAGTTTTCTGTTTGAAACTGATTTTATGAAAAACATATCTCTCATTTGTTCCAATGGTTATCCTCAGTTAGGTGAAATCTAAATGAAATTTAATCGCCAAAATTGTTGACACTAACATCTCTCATTGTTAATTAACTTACTAAAGACATAACTGAAGCTTCCTAAACATGAATAAATTCCAACCAGCCATTACAACTATAATAATCTAATAATTTATTTCCAACGAGATCGACGAACGAATATATTCCGAAATATTTTCGACTAAATTCGACTAAAAATTCTTCAGCCTCATCATAAATAGTGTATCATCGCGAGTCAGAGGCAGTCTGAGAGTATACTACCGGTCAGAAAACTGATCTGCAAATCGATAACTAAATCAAATTTCTGGCATTACCTTTCAGGGCGTGATGGCGGCAGTGTTTCTGAGCAGTTGCACGCGAAGACACAAACCGTATACGGAGATCGGGCCGACGGAAGACCTAAGGGTACCGTTGACAGACAGCGGCCGCTCGCGAAGCGGAAGTCTTCGACACGCTCGCGGTCAGGGCGTGCCGATCGACAGGCCCAGCGGCATGAATTCCCTGATCGTGTGCAACAGTTATTCGAACAGGGCCGGTGCTTGGTCCCGCGCGTCGTACAGCGGTCGTTATTCCCATAGTTACGGTTCGATCGAGACGAAAAGGTACCTAGAAATGACCACGTGATGGCCACTGTTATCCACATGGGCACACGAACGGCGACAAATTCTCGAACAGGCTCGTGCCCGACAGTATTGTCATGTTTCGCGAACCTACGGTTGCTCGTGAAAGTATTCGTAACGTTTGTTTGAATCTCGAATGAATAGATCAAGTGTGTTATATGAGATGTTCTAATGTTTTATTGATATTATAGTGAAACATCATTGTTATGATTCTGACTACATCGGTCAAGTTTAAAACAAAAATATACATATATGTAGAAAATTGCGCAGAGCGCAGATAATGTGAAAAAAAAAATATAGAAAATTCTATAATTTTCTATTTTTTCAACTATTAATCTAATTTTTAATCATAATGAAATTAGTATGATATACAATGAAATTTATACGACATGTATAAAAGTTCTTTTATGACAGATATAAACATAAATGTTTCTTTTACGATAAATGTTTGAATACTTTTATCAGCCACTGTAGTTTGTAAAACTTTCTTGGCCATTTATGAAGATCAAAACAATTTGTCATGGGAAATATTTTGACTTTTTCATTGAAGAATCACTTAGGAAAATAATGTGTAAAGATTATTATTGTAAAACGTAAATGAAATAATTTCATACGTTTCACTCACAATCAGTCGAAACCTTGAAATTAGTATGAGTTTTATAAAATTGAAGAATTTAGAGGAAAATCAACTTGAAATTTTGCTATTTTAGAAAACTACTCTGTATTGCAAGAAAATAAATGAAACATATTTCAATATTAAATGAAAAGAGAAGAAATTGAATTTCTGATCAAACATGGAGGGGAAAATATTAGAATAAAACTTGAAACTAATACTTGTTTTATCGAAGAAGAAAAATTAATAGGTAATATCAAATGATTCTTCTTTCTTAGGAATTAAGAAATTGTTGGATGAAAATATTACATAAAATTGTACAAGCGTAAATTTATAGAGTTTAAATTAGAATTAAAAATATTTTTTAATCTTCTATAAATTTTAATAATCATCAAATGGTAACTTTTAAATGAAGTTGTAGCGTTTTTGAGAAAGTTTACTCGCGTTACATTAGTTAAAATGTATGTATAAAACTTATTATTTAGAAAAGTCTATTACCACAACGAAAGAGTCGAGAAAAATTTCTAACAAACGATTCAGATTTAGGATGCCTCGTTTGTTCATAAAAAAATAAAGAATAAAAATTAAAAATATTATCATCTCCGGTCAGAAATCATCTCCATTACAAAACATGGCAGATCTGAAGGGATACGAGGATTGCTGAAGACAAATTTCAGATTCATAGCTCAGACGTTTGAAACAGTATTTTCAAAATGTAGATACACATTTCAATCGAAAAACAGCAATTATTCTTAATTAGAAGAATTATTCAAA